AAACACTTCTGACTTTTATTTTGGAGGGAAGCATTGTCAGTAGTCTGGAAAGGCTTTCTTATCTAGTACTGTTTCCTTCTTACCTTTATCTAGTACTGTTTTTTTCCTTGTCCAGTGACTAATCTTTGGTCTCCCTTCCTGCTCTCTCTTTGCACCTTCAGGATTCTCTTGTGCTCCAAGAACCATTTATTGGCATTAGATTGTGGATCTACCTTTCTACATCTACATCTATATCTACATCATCTTAGAACTCTAATGCTTAAAAGCAGTGTGTGGTTAGCCACCTGGTCCAGTCTAGTTAGACTCATCAATACCCTGTACTTCCATCAATATCTAGCCAATAGTGTTTCTCAACCTTAGCAACTGTAAGATGTATGGACTTCAACTCCCAGAATTCCCTAGGCAGCCATGCTGGCTGGGGAATCCTGGGAGTTGAACTCCACACATTTTACAGTTGCCAAGGTTCTGAAACATTGATCTAACAATATATGGCTGTAGGGTAAATGTGGTCTGTGAAAGATTGGCAAGCAGAGTCCTTCCAAAAGCTGATTGAACTGTAGCTCTGAATAAGATAGAAATTATTAAACACATGGAGAGTGATTGATTAATTATCTAATTTAATTATTATCTGATCTTGCCCATTTTTAAAATGTGGCTTGCCACCATATCAGTCAAAAATCAACCAGAGCTCTTGCCTGCCTAAAAGTTTGTACACCACTGAAATATGGGAAGAAATGTGTAAATGGAAAAGGAAGGAAAATAGAATCAGGCTGCACTGTTGTTATTTTATTGAAAATAAATTATTTAGTACTGATACTAAAAATTTGGAGGTTTCTATAAGTCACTTCATGCTACTGAAAAGGCATATCATGAATCAAGATTTAGAAGGCCATCTTGTATGGCTCACATGTGGAAAGTAGAACTGAGACAAAAAAAATGAGCCAATCTTTCACCTTTTTAAAATCCTAATGTTCAACTTTTTTTTTTGAATTTTTTTCCTGCCTTTATTATTTTATAAATAAGGCAGCAAACATACCTAATACTCCTCCCTCCTCCTGTTTTCCTCATAACAACAACCCTGTGAGGTGAATTGGGCTGAGAGTGACTGGCCCAAAATCACCAACAAGCTTTCATACATAAGGCAGGACTAGAATTCACAGCCTCCTGGATTCTAGCCTGGTGCCTTAACCACTAGACCAGACTGGCTCTTAGTATTTAAAAATTAAATATTATATTAAATAAAAAAATTAAATTAAATTTAAATAAAAACATTAAATTAGTATTTAAAAATTAAAGGAACTTCAGTATTCTTCAAGCAGTGGCCTATATTTGGAGGCATATTTTGCCAAATAAGTATCCAATACATCATCAGACTTGTTTATAGTTTGCACAAGCCAGCAATAATTACCTCACCATTATGGAGCACCTATCACTCCAGGTAAAAGCTGAACCACCTTCTCTTATGCCAGCAGGGAGAGAAAATACTGTATGCCATCCAATCACAGTCATAAACAGGCAAGACATTATTAGCCAAGGGAATCCTGCTATCCAATTTCCCTTTCTATAGACAAGCTACTTGTTTTCATACTGATACATTCTAGCAAGTGGTGTTACCAGTTTTCTAGGAGAAAGTAAAGAGCTTGGTTTTTCAGCACAGCACAATACATGTACTGTAACATTTATTCACACAGTAGCAAATAATAAATAGAATAATATACTAAACATGCTGACAATCATATCCAAATGCTTGGATTAGGATTTAATCCTTTATACAGTGATCAATTTATAAGGAATATGTTGGGAAACTGGGATGGAAAAGAAGCTGCATATAAGCTCTAGATAGTGGAAGAAAACTCTTCTTTGAGGTCTAGTTGCTTAGAGTGTTCATTATATCATTATAATTATATTATATTCTGTAGAAATTCTTTGCCATTTCAGCACATTTCTTGAACCTTCCAATTTGCTTCTGGGTGCAATTCAAGGTGCTGATTATTACATTCTTGAACCTGGATGATGTTTCTTCTCCAGGACTGTCCATTCTGTCACATCATCTCAAGTTTATTTTTTAATTTGTACTGTTTCAAAAATAAGTGATTTTTCAAAATCAGTTCCTAACTGCTGTGCGGTTTATGGGGTTGGAATCCCCTGGGGGAAGGGGATGAGCTCAGCTGTCATCTGTGTCTGCAACTTTTACTTCCCATTATTTAACTTTTTAGCCTTTTTTAATCCTTCATTCCAAAACAAATATATTTAATAACCATTGTATTTAACAGCAGTAAAGTCAGAATATCTGCACATTGTAAACATCTCTGGGATACCAAATTCAGAATTGGACTGCTCAGAGCAGTTTTAACAAGAGTGTCTTCCCCTTAATGATTTTCCATCTTTAGTTCTGGATGGGTTGCATTAACCTAAAGCCGAACTGGTACACAATTTAGGGGTTCTCCTGGAGTCACAGCTCCGATTCGAAGAGCAGGTGGGAGCTGTGGCCAGGGAAGCTTTGCACAGCTTCATGTTGTACACCGATTGGGCCCTTTCCTGGATCAGAAGGCACTGCTCATGGTCACTTATTCTTTGGTCACCTCTTGGATGGATTACCACAATGCACTGTACATGGGCCATCCTTGAAGAACATCCAAAAGCTTCAATTGTTCCAAAGTGTGGCAGCACGTGCCATTGTGGGGATGACTCATTATGCCCATGTTTGTGATGGAATGGAATTATGAAGGCCAAGCTCAGGGAGATAAGC